GTCATGTCACTGTGCACGACGATCTGACAGTGGAATGATGTGTTCTTTCAATGTTTCAACTGTCATATGTGCTATGTCAAAGCCTGATTTATGCCTGTGTCAACAATCTGTAAAACTGTGTCTACAATTTCATAGTGGCTCTCAGATGGTGTTACATAAAACTAAAGAATTGTTGGTTCAAGACGGGATGAATCTGGCGCTGGATCAACAATAACGCCAAAGTACTTTGTACTTTTCTTGTCCTCTGACCTCTGTTACTTTACTGGGGGGGTGGGGATTCACATTTTAAAATAAATATTTCCCTTCGATTTCCCTTTTTGACGCAATGAGTCCTGGGACATTTTTAAGTTACGAGTCTTGGACCCCGGGACAATGTAAGTGATTAGTCTTGGACCACAGGACAATATCAGTTAAAAGTCTTGGACCCCAGAACAATGTAAGTTACAAGTCTTGGACCACAGAACAATGTAAGATACAAGTCTTGGACCCCAGAACAATGTAAGTTACAAGTCTTGGACCTCGGGACAATGTAAGTTACAAGTCTTGGACCCCAGAACAATGTAAGTTACAAGTCTTGGACCCCAGAACAATGTAAGTTACAAGTCTTGGACCCCAGAACAATGTAAGTTACAAGTCTTGGACCTCGGGACAATGTAAGTTATGAGTTTTGGACCTCGGGACAATGTAAGTTACAAGTCTTGGACCCCAGAACAATGTAAGTTACAAGTCTTGGACCCCAGAACAATGTAATTTAAAAGTCTTGGACCCCAGAACAATGTAAGTTACAAGTCTTGGACCCCAGAACAATGTAAGACACAAGTCTTGGACCTCGGGACAATGTCAGTTATGAGTTTTGGACCTCGGGACAATGTAAGTTACAAATTTTGGACCCCCCGGACAATGTCAGTTATGAGTCTTGGACCCCGGGACAATGTCAGTTATAATGAGTCTTGGACCCCGGGACAATGTCAGTTATAATGAGTCTTGGACCCCCGGACAATGTCAGTTATAATGAGTCTTGGACCCCCGGACAATGTCAGTTATGAGTTTTGGACCCCGGGACAATGTCAGTTATAATGAGTCTTGGACCCCGGGACAATGTCAGTTATAATGAGTCTTGGACCCCGGGACAATGTCAGTTATAATGAGTCTTGGACCCCGGGACAATGTCAGTTATAATGAGTCTTGGACCCCGGGACAATGTCAGTTATAATGAGTCTTGGACCCCGGGACAATGTCAGTTATAATGAGTCTTGGACCCCGGGACAATGTCAGTTATAATGAGTCTTGGACCCCGGGACAATGTCAGTTATAATGAGTCTTGGACCCCGGGACAATGTCAGTTATAATGAGTCTTGGACCCCGGGACAATGTCAGTTATGAGTCTCGGGCATTCCCTTTAGGTAGTTATGTCTTCTACTATATATTAAAAAATCAATAATAAGAAAATAATATGGTTGTCACACGATGGAACACTGGACTCATTGAGTTAGATATACTGGGTAGGATATATATGCACTGTTGGCCTCTTACCGAAAGTTGAACACGACATTTCCCGATAAGCAAATCTCGAGCTTCCTTGAAGTTAATGAATATGGGAATTCCGTTTCTATTATAATATAAGCCACCATTCAAGACATAATAAATTCTTGCCTGTGATACATGTGACTTGCTGGATTGAAACACTCAAAAATGTCTGCAGGGATGGGCACAGTTTTGGTCCTCTTCAGGAATGTCAAGTGGTGAGGCGCTAGACTGGCCTGTCTCTTGTTTTAAAACAAATAAGTCACCTCAAGATTTGGGCAATAAATAGAGTTTCAATTAATAGCTATGTAACCAATGATGTCACACATCGGTGGTTTCTATTAAAAGCAAAGATAACCACCAACTTGTGTGGTGGATTAGCAACGTCTTTCTGCGTTTATAATTTAAACATACATCATCATATAATTAATTAAATTAATGAATATAATATTTCATGTAATTGACTGGGTATTTTATCACAGTGGTTCTAAACACTTTACACTACTTGCCCCCGTTGGAGAAACGCAATGCATAGCCAACCAATAGCCTTTCATTTATTGATCTCCTAAAATTCAAATGAACTAGTTTATTGGGTTGTTACCTCCCTCTAATTTGTTATGTCATACACTCCAGCTGCAAATATCTTACTTCGTGTTACCCGGTACTTTAATGTAGCCACTAAAGCTAGTATTGCCATGACATTATTTAGATGGGCGCTGGCGTGAGACGTTACAAATTACAAAGGCTGGACACTTGTTCTCAAACCTAGTATTGCCATGACATTATTTAGATGGGCGCTGACGTGAGACGTTACAAATGACAAGGGCTGGACACTTGTTCTCAAAGCTAGTATTGCCATGACATTATTTAGATGGGCGCCGCAATCCTATTCATCTTGTAAAAATTATAAATTATATGGAGGGAACGATTTTGCAAATTATATTTGACCAAGTATAGGATGTAATTCATATGGCTTGAAATAAAACAGAAACCATTTGTATTTTAAGTTATTTACTACCGGTACACTATAACATTCCAACATCTTTTATAATAGGGGACCTCCTCGGTAGACAACTCTTTAAAAGATTGTTCCCCTCAGCAATCCTTGCATTTTTTCCGATACAATATTAATAGTATTAGCCAAAGGGTCTTTCCTTTATCTTAAGCTAAGTAAGGATTGGCCCGTTATCTCTATCATTCGAATTGCTACACCATCAGACATGGGCTTACAAATAAGAAAGAAAAAAAATAAAGGTGGGGGGGGGGGGGGGGGGGGTTAAGTTTAGCTCATACCAAAATGCTTAACATTCTTTAAGTTTAAGGATGTAGTCATTTCTGGGGATACATTTAAATTCTGACGGGCTGATATGGTCTTGTACATGATCTTGTGATTTGCTGTTGACTAACTTAAAGGGATTAATCCGGAGCTCAAAGCTCTGCAGCAGGGTCTTAAGACCTGGTGCTGAGCTGGTAACATGTCTTACCGATCTGAGTCTGAGTTCCAAAATCGTTTCAATAAATGTAATTATATTTTTATGAATATTATTAGTAAATATTATTTATATTATTATTTGTAGTTAATGATTTTAAAATTTAATGCCCCACCAGCTGAATTGCCCCATTCTCCTACAACTTGCCCTCACTATTCTACCACTACAAGTACAAGCTACGTTGCCCCACTTTTCTACTTCTACTAGCTCAGTTTCCCCAATTTTCTACCTGTACAAGCTTTGTTACTACTAGCTTTGTTTCCCAGTTCTTCGATATCTATAACTATAAGAAATGAAGGACTGTGTTCAAGCCGTATGAAGGTAATAGTTGGACGTTTGGATGTTTGAAATAGAAAGTACAATAAAAGATATGTGCTTTGGCTAAGTAAGAGCCTTCCTCCGCAGACAAGACAAACAAAAAAGCAGGAGAGTACTTGAATGATTCCATATGGTGATATTGTGCCCAAAAGCTGAATTAATTTGTTTTCCTTTCAAAACTCACTGGTGTGTTGGTACAGGAAATCAGTGCCATGATAGATACATCTGCTGTCTCTTTGTGTTTATCTCCGTTGAAATGGGAAGAGACTGTTTAATATCACAAAGATGTGAACGTATCCCATTTTCTTCTTACCAGTTCGCCTCTATAACAGGATGCCGCTCCCGACCTGACAAAAATTTATCAGGAGTGGAGTTACAGCGGAGCTCAACCAATGAAAGCCTGCATCACATCCTTAGAATCAATAATTCAGCAGTGGTACACCCGTATGAAATTAGAGTGATCACTCATCATCTTATGATTGAAAAGTTTTACAATGACCTTATTTAATGTAGACATACGTACTTATAATTATGATGATTGAAATAAAATGAATTCAGATATTATAATATAAATCCTTTTGTTTAATAATACAAATAATACAATAAATTTTATTGAAATCATTTCCTCTTTCCTTTGAATGAGCTCCCCTTTTGAGAAAATTGTTTTCTCCCTTTAAATGAGTTCCCTTTTTGAGAAAATTGTTTCTTCCCTTTGAATGAACTCCCTTTTTGAGAAAATTGTTTCTTCCCTTTGAATGAACTCCCTTTTTGAGAAAAATTTTTCTTCCCTTTGAATGAGCTCCCCTTTGGAGAAAACTTGGTCTTCCCTTTCAATGTTTCCTTTGTTTTGTTTCTTTTGGCGAGATCAGTTTTAGTTTTGCCAATGTTTTTTTTCTTATCAACCGAAGCCACATCCCCATAGATGGATGACAGGCCGTCGGTTTTCTTGGCATTCTCTTTCTTTTTTTTCATTTTTCTGAATCTTTTCTCTTTTTTAGCTTTCAGAATGGTTTTGAACGAGTTGTTGGAGATGTTACTTGGGGCAAAAGCAATCTTCTTGACCTTGGCTTTTGCTGGCTGTTTGTCCTTCTGATATGTTAAGGAATATAAATTATGAACCGGTAATTTAAGTTTAAATTTAGATTGTGGCGTGAAAACAAAACAAAAAATGAATCCTTTAACTTTAAACGGGCAGGTAACCAAGAAATTTCAGCAAAGGTAAAAAAAATGCAGGCTAAAAATACTAAAAAAAAGTTATAACCATACAGATGCCATGTACCATTATGGAGAAATTACCATGTAGAATAAGAATTATTAAGTCATCCTCAAAGTCATTCTGGTAACAGTATTTATTTATTTTTTTAATTGACATAAAACTTATTTAATTTGTAGTATTTATATTTTATTTACAAATATTGATATCCTGCTTGTTTATAAAATTATACACGTCAATGTTACAAAAACTTGAAATCGCTATAATTTGACTTTATGGAATTACTCTGTTACAATGACCTGGCGATTAAATGTCTTTTTAAAATGATTATTGAGCGAACAGAAATTTATTAATGCACCGTTTTGTTTTCACTAAATGTTAATTTTAGATATGCTCCCGGAAAATCAAGAGTAAACAAATCCCACAGCCATTTAGATTTTTAATGTAAATTAAAAAATTAAGATGACATGTACATGAGATTTCCCTTTATTTAAGTATTGAAGGACGTAATCTCTATAGTTACCTTAAGTTATGGGACATAACCTTAGTGTTACCTACCATAAGTTGGGGGACATAACCTTAGTGTTACCTACCATAAGTTGGGGACATAACCTTAGTGTTACCATAAGTTGGGGGACATAACCTTAGGGTTACCTACCATAAGATGGGGGACATAACCTTAGGGTTACCTACCATAAGTTGGGGGACATAACCTTAGGGTTACCATAAGTTGGGGGACATAACCTTAGGGTTACCATAAGTCATGGTTTGACCTGGTTAGCAACATTATCCTGGCCGGTTTTAAAGTTTGTCAGTTTCTATCTACACTTGGTATAGATTTGTCCTGTCTATGTTAGATAATATCGGTAATTAAGCTAAAATTTTGAGTAAAAACTGTCAAGCTCTTGTTTTAAGCATGTCAAACTATAGCTTTAGTCCATCTTCAAACTTTGATGTGGAGAAAATTTTGATATTTTTTATTTCTAAATTTTTTTCTTCACTTTTTACGAGGCCGATGCAAGAATGTACATTGACCACAAAAAACTCTACTTTGATAAATGTTGTCTAAATATTATGTTAGCAGGATAAAATTTGTTTTGTACTGTCAAGCTACCAGACTCACTAGCTGGTGGGTAGAATAGTCTCTTTCCCGTAATGCACAAAATGTGCTTTACAGATCTTGCATGACACTCACACAGAGGGGTGCACCTTGACTAAATCCCACCCATGGCCAACTCCTTCTATTGCTCCCAAACCCATGAACATTGATTATAAAAATTGGTTATAAACCCTAAAAGCGACACCAACCCCACCCCACTTTTTTTTCCTCACTAAGCCAATACCCAAGAGTCCAGTTTCTAATACCTAACATCATGGTAAGCACATGCATTTGCATAACCTGCTATAATTTTTAGTCAGTTCTTAAAATCCAAAGCTGAGAATAAATTTTTGCTGACTGAGTGCGTGTTGCTGTCAACCTTATCTGCGACCGGTTATTCATGTGTGTTACTATCAACCTGATCCGCGACCGGTTATTCATGTGTGTTACTGTCAACCTGATCTGCGACCGGTTATTCATGTGTGTTACTGTCAACCTGATCTGCGACCGGTTATTTAAAGTTAAACTGTTGATTGTTAAATCCTCACTTGTGTGCAAGTTTTAGTTTGCTGTGATAAAATGGAATCATTAACTGGGATCAGAACATTCTTTTTTGTCATGTTTCTGCTGGGATTGAAAGTCTGTCTTAAAACCACCCAGGTCAAGTAAGGTAAATTAGAATGACAATAGACAATGTTTTAAAGGATACTTCTTTCAGCTGTTTTTTCAACAATTTCTGATCTGTTTTCTTTTGTTTGTTGGAGCAAACCATGACTCTCAGTTGCCTCCCTTGCAGCTCTGAATTATTCAGTTTTGTAGCTAATCCAACAGAATCTTTAGACTGGAAAAAAAAAACAGAAATCCAAAATAAACATAGTTATATTGGCCACATGATTGGCACAAACCAGAATATCATTGACCTTATTGGCACAAACCAGACTATCATTGACCTGCATGACACAAACCAGTATATCATTGACCTTATTCCCACAAACCAGAATATAATGATAACAAGTTAACCATTCCTCACATACTGACTAGAGTATTAACACACTGAGCTTTTTTTTTCAAAAGGGAAATAAATCTCACCAGCTGATTTGGATTGAATGCATTTTTCTAAATCATTAAAAATAACCAAATAAATGAGGAGAATCAAGGATTAAAATTAAATTTTTTACCATTCATGAATATTGGATAATTTTAAAAAGTCTAATTCGAATATTTAAAATACCGGTACGGTAGCTAAAAATAACTAAATATTTTTTATTTTAAAATGATTAATTTATAACTAGTGGTAATGAGATGACTTAACATATAAGCAAATCGTCAAACTTATTTATTTTGGTGGGGAAGGCAAAATATTTCTCCCCATTTAGCTGGCAAATATTAAAATTCTTATTTTGTCGTTTATTGGTTTATAAATTAAACAACACCAAAAAATCTGTTAACTCTGGGACGTCAAAATTCAAACCAAAAAAGGTTGAAGGTAAAGTTAGGTTAACAAAGAGGCTATAAAAAATCCATGAAAAAATTACAAGAGCGTTCCACTGAATTCTTACCTCGAACTGTACATAGCAAATTCCTTTACCGAGACTGGTCATTCTGTCACGTACTATTCTCACGTTTGTTATGTCCCCACAGTCTTCAAAGTGAGCTCTAATGACTTCCTCAGTAATAGCTTTAAAAGAAATCAAATATTTTAAGGACACAGCACACCAAGATAAATGATCAAAATAAAATTTGTCCTTTTTCTCTTGCAGTTGTTTTTATAAAACCTTTCAACAAAAAATATTTGAGGACTTGCTAATTATCTAACATTGATTTTAACTTATTTTAAGGGGAAACAATTTTATAATCTGTGGTTCTAGAGTGAATGAGTTTTGAATTACCTAAGAAAATATTTAAATTAATAATTTTCTTAGTAAATGTTTACCAACTTTAAAAAGATGCATACAATTTTTTTTTTAAATTCCACTTCAAATGATGAACGTTACTGTTGGCTCATTTCGTTTAACATATATTTTTGAATAAACTGTGCGACCCTCCGACCAAGGGGTCACTACTTAAATTACTGGCTTTTTGAGCAAATATGACGCTTGCTTGGTCGCTGAATGTTGTTTGTATGTACACAGAAAAGATAAATTGCTCACATGCAACAAATTGTACATCGTACATTGTAACAAATAAAGAAACTGACCTTTTTAAAGGATCGGCATATAAAATAAGCCCTTAACTAGAGGAAATATTTTTTTTACCATAAATTTTGTATCTTATAGATGATATGACAAACACACAGAGCCATGAACTATACTCTAAATACTAAATATACATAAATGATTTTATTTTTTTCTATAAAAAAATTGTATATAATATAAATATATAACATTAAAAAAATAACCTCACAAATAAAGTCCCATAGCTCTAATACTTTTTTTTTGAAGAGACACGACATTCAATACCTTTTAATTAAAATTCAATAGAAAAAGCATAACTTTGACAACGCATATATTCAATTATTTGTTGTTCAGTAATGTTTTGTCATTCACTATATTTAGATAGGGTGCACACTTTCTACTTACTAAATGGAAGATTTCCAACAAAAACTGATCTTTTTTTGTCATGCTGAAAATCAAATGATGCATGTAAAATATAAATAATTTTTATTTCAAATCTGGAAAAAAGTAAATCATTTAAGCTCTTTATCATTTTACAAACAGAGAGAAACTTAAAAGTTACATTTTGCTAGCTATATCTTCTTTATATTTGTTATTTTTAGTAAAAGATGTAGAATTTTGATATATATGTGTTTCAATAATTCCAAAAATGACAGCTTCCAACCTTATTGGCCATAGCAGCTATATCGACCCGTATGTGGAGATCATCTAGTAGGTAGCCATTCCTGAAATATGAAAACAGAGGCATTTGTTCTAGAGGACTTTATTCTTTTCATATAGTTGTTACACCTATCATTATATAAGATTTTTTAAAGCTTTGATCCTCAACACATTTAAAACTATATTATAAAAATATAAAAGTTTTGCGTAATGAGTACACTTAATATGATTTAAAAATTATTATTAAAAGAATATAATATTTATTTAAATAACAGTCAAACTTTCAGACCTCATTACCTTTCTAAAGCTTTCATGGCAGCTTCCACTTCCTTGAAGACAATATAAGCTACATAGTTATTGCACTGTTCATGGAAGTTTTTCCTGTTACAGAAAATGAAATGTTAATTTAATGCCAAAGCAGGGCAATATTTAATGTAATTTTGTCTGTTTCCAGATTGCATTGGGACCATAATGTAAAATATAAAATCAAGCAACTCCAATCAGAGTTGTGTGCAAATAAAGTGTTTAAATAATTCCTATAAGCTTGTATTAGGTCTATACTAAAAGTACTATATTTTATAACAATCTTGTAAAAAGAAAAAGCTACAAACTTACGTAATGACAATAGCTCTTCTTGGTAACGTGGGATCTGCTGGAGGCTGAGAGATGTAACAGTATTTATGTTCAATAACATTTTTAATGACATCCAATTTCACTCTACCAATTTTATTTCTGTTTGCACAATTTTTAAGTGTTTCCTCCCACATTTTTAATGCAACAAAAATTTACCCTATTGAATAATTTTGTTGTGTAACTTACTGAAAAAAAAAAGTCACCTTATACCCAACTGATGGTTCCTTGACATTTAAGAAAATCAGTCAAAGAAATCCCACTTTTAGTATTAAATATCAAAATTTAACTTACAGCACATCGAAATCTGATTGACTCAATCTCTCCATACTCTTTAAACAGCTTCTTCAGAATCTACATGATTAGGGAGGAAAGAAACTCAAACAATTTCAATCACCATATAAAATATCAGGTTAGGATATACTCATTATAATGCAAATAAATTATATATATTATATCTAAAAGAAAACATACTTTTTTATCTGCTGACAAGGGACAATTCCCAACAAAAATGGTTCTCTTGTCTGCAACTTTGTCTCTTTTGCGATTTCTTCTAAACCTCTTTCCTTCTGGTTCATCTTCATCTTTTTTACTTTTTTCTAGCTTCCTTTTCACGCCACCAGTTTTTGTTGCAACTGGATTTCTGTACATGAAAAAATGCAGAATTAAGTTATAGGACCATAATAAAGCACCAAACGTTAAATGAATACACTTTTAAGAATTATCAAGTCTAAGTATTTCAGCTTTGTCTAGACTCACTATAAATAGGAAGACAAAAATTAAATCAAACTGACCTGTTTTGCAATAAAGTTTCATGAATAAAAGGAAAAGGTTCAGAGGTCAAAGGTTTCTTTGGGCTCGTAACATCCATTTCTTCACTGGAAACACCTGATTTTTTTCTCTTCTTCTTGGATGACATGGGGTGTTCTTTAACTATATTACTGTCTGTTGTTTGTTTTAAAATGTTGGCTGATGCTGCCTAAAAAATTTTAATTGTATTTTAATTCTAAGCATATAATTTTAAGGATTTAAAGAATTGATATAAATTTTTTAAGCAATGAACTTTGTACTTATAGATAAAGGAATGTTCTTTTTTTAAAACTATTGCTGTTCAGCTCATATAAACTAATACTATAAAAATATTTTTGACGTATTTACCTTTTGTCTTTGTGGTGACGGTAACTGTGCTGGATTAGCAGAAGGGTTTTTGACAGAGAAAAGTTTGGCAAGGTCATTGCTCTTCTCTTCTGATTTTCTTTTCTTTGAAAAAAGCAAAGCTGAAACCTGCCCAGGCTTATAGGAATCCATTTTAAGAACTTAAACTGAAAAAGAAATACATTTAAAATTTATTATCAGATGCCACCTAACTGTTTTGTCAACAGTTATCAATCTACATAACATAACAGAACCAGCTAAAGGCCCATTAATAAATGACATTACACATCTAGAAAGGGAGGGATGTCACATATTTATGGCAATTATAATGATGTGTCTGACTTTCTGTGATGATGGCAGGGAACTGTTACTATTATAAATAACATACAGAAGGTAGGGACAGAAAGAGTATCAACATAGGCCTAATTAGTTCAATTTTTACTAATCACACTGTCATGTAATATACTATCATACAGTACAGTCGTAATGTACTCAGAAAGTACTCAGTAACTGTAACTTAAGCCTGAGAACTAATCTACTACTAACACTAACTTGTTTAAGTAAGTACTATCCAAACACACAGTAGACTCACTGTCACAACATTAACATGCACCTCTCCTCCTAGTCTAGAGTCTAGGGTTAGGAACTAATTTATTTGATATTTGCTATGCCTGTCTATTACTACTTCTACTATCAAAACCCACTGACTGATACTGGTACTCAAATGACTCAAACTAAACCATTCATGATTGAAGAATCACGCTAATTGAAATATTATTCAGTTAAGAATAATAAGCTTAAGATAATGCAGTTCTGTCTCAGTTAATTCACTGGTCACTGGACTTAGATGTACTCAGTTTAATTGACTTTAATTGATTCACTTTCATTGGCACCGTCCTATCTCAAAGCGCTCATGACTACTTCAACTAGTCTACTTATTTTCCCACTAGACAACTCCGCTCATCCAATAATGGCAAACTCTCGATACCCTGTGTTCGCTTTGACTTTGAGACTTAAGGAAGGCGCACTTTCGCATATCATTTGCTGGCCCAACAATTTGGAACACACTTCCTGTCGCTCTCAGAAACAGCCTGACACTGCAGTCTTTCAAAACCGAATTGAAAACACATCTATTTCGAAAACACCTGCTGGGGTGATGTTGATGATCTTTTCCAGCTAGCTATTATTTTACTAAATGTATATTGGCCTGTGTTGTTTACGTTTGGAAGAGATGAATGACTTAGAATGGGTATTCTCTTATGTAATTTTTGTAATTTTGCATTTTGTATTTCAATGTGATATAATATAGGCCTAGATTTTTTCATTTCTCTTTTAATATGGTTGACTTTGTAATTTCTACATGCTTTGAGCCTTAGGTTGGCTTTGTTGGGGATGAAGCCTGATTTTCAAATAAACTTTATTTTTATTTTTAATGTATCAACTGTCTAACTGAGGGTTGAGGGGAGAAAAAAAACATAGGTATACCAAAAACAAATATATCTTTTTTAAATAATCATAATAATAATCGTTTTATTTTTATTTATCTATGGAATTTATGGAAGAGCTGGGGATGGAGGGCCGCTGCCTGTCCCTTGTAACTGTGGAGTGTGGAGCCAGGCCAGGTGATCGACTATTACTATTACAGCCAGATGTGGGGTTTTCTTTTTTATGATAAAAAAATTAATATACCAATAAATATCTGCTAAAAAATAATATTTTAAAAGCTCTGAGTAATTATTATTCCATAATCTTATTATATATGGGCCTACTAAGCCTACTATATATGAGTATAAGATAATATAAACTTACACAAATCAAAATTTCACATGCAGTTATTTTCCCGGAAGTAGTATATTTTTGTTTTTGTGATAAAATAATGTAAAAGAGTAATCTTTAATAAACGAATCAAAACGTTTGATATGGAAATAATTTAGGATCTCACCCTTTATTTTCACAATAAATCAGCAGCGTAACAACTAAATTAATCAAACCCTAAAACAAAGTTTTTCGTAGAAATCGTTTATAAAATGCAATATCGATCAATTGGGGGTGGCAGTGGCACTGAAAATTTGACAAAATATGAATACAAGTAAAGCACTTACGGCTTACTTTATTATTTATTTTTATAAGAATCCCTTTTAGTACTCCTCCCCCAAGGCTTGCATCCGCACATTTTTTGTATGCCCCTGAACTCTATTAAAATTAGAATTACCCATCTGCTTTTACAAAGCAGATTTATTTCACCAACTATTTAAGAAAAATGAAAGAAAATATTACGCGACGCAACAAACGCATTGGTGCCATTTACATTTGATATAACCAGTGGCGCAGCTAGGGATTTGGGGGGATTTGGGGGCCCGGGGGCTTGGCCTCTTTAGGGGCCCCTGCATTTTGACATTCGAAATTATTTAATGTAAAAAAAATAATTTCAGACACGCCTTGGGGGCCCCCTCAAGTATGAGCCCCGGGGGACTTTTGAATTTGGAGCCCCCCTCCCCTAGCTACGCCACTGGATTTAACAATTATTGAAAAATCTCATTTGGCGCAGTAATCGGGAATTTTATTTCGTGAAATCAGCGTCATCATATTTCCTACATCTTCCCCTTATTTTTTTTAGATTAGTTTTGGGGCTGGGGCTGAAAACTTGTAAGATTGTTTTTCATCAGCAACGAGTGTATGTCTATGGGGCAAGTTTCAGATCGATCGGTTCACGGGAAGTCAATTAATTAGCCGTCTGAAGATTTAGCCAGCCAACAAGCCAGCTACGACCAAAAGCGAAGTTAGTATAAAGGATTTTTTAAAATCCAATATAACCACTCAAAACTAAAAAAACATAATTGTATATATAATTTAAATAACATTAAAATGTTTGATTAAAATTGATTAGAAACTGAAATTGTTTAGTCTTTTAAAATTCATTATAAATTACATTCATGGAATATAAAATGTACTCTTCTAGTCATAAATCCTTTCACTATGGAGAAGTGTTTGGAGCACACCCCCCCTACCCCGATTGGTCTGTAAGAAACTCTGCCTCTTAGGTCAGTGGATTTGCACAAACAGAATAAACAGTAGGACTTAGCCGGGTGCAAATCCGGAAACTCGGAAATGCCAAGTGTTTCACATCTGGGTCAAACCCTGACCGGGTCCGGGTGAAAACACATTAGGGACATTTTTTTTTTTTTTTTTGCATATTATATTTTTTTGTATTAGTTACCTGCATTAAACAAATAAAAAAAACATCTTTGCAGAACTGTAGATGAGCACACCAAGTTACATCTGGGTCAAACCCTGACCGGGTCCGGGTGAAAACACATTAGGGACATTTTTTTTTTTTTTTTTTTGCATATTATATTTTTTTGTATTAGTTACCTGCATTAAACAAATAAGAAGAACATCTTTGCAGAACTGTAGATGAGCACACCAAGTAGCCAAAGAAAGACTGTGCAGGAGTGTAGATGAGCACACTATGTAGCCAAAGAAAGACTGTGCAGAAGTGTAGATGAGCACACCAAGTAGCCAAAGAAAGACTGTGCAGGAGTGTAGATGAGCAACCATGTAGCCAAAGAAAGACTGTACAGAAATGTAGATGAGCACACCATGTAGCCAAAGAAAGACTGTGCAGAAATGTAGATGAGCACACCATGTAGCCAAAGAAAGACTGTGCAAAAATGTAGATAAGCACACCATGTAGCCAAAGAAAGACTGTGCAGAAGTGTAGATGAGCACACCATGTAGCCAAAGAAAGACTGTGCAGGAGTGTAGATGAGCACACCATGTAGCCAAAAAAAGACTGTGCAGGAGTGTAGATAAGCACACCATGTAGCCAAAGAAAGACTGTGCAGAAATGTAGATGAGCAAACCATGTAGCCAAAGAAAGACTGTGCAGAAATGTAGATGAGCAAACCATGTAGCCAAAGAAAGACTGTGCAGAAGTGTAGATGAGCACACCATGTAGCCAAAGAAAGACTGTGCAGGAGTGTAGATGAGCACACCATGTAGCCAAAAAAAAAAGAAGGAGCAGAAATGTAGAGGAGCAAACCATGTAACCAAAGAAAGACTGTGCAGAAATGTAGATGAACACACCAAGTAGCCAAAGAAAGACAGTGCAGGAGAGTAGATAAAGAAAGACTGTGCAGGAGTGTAGATGAGCACACCATGTAGCCAAAAAAAAAAGAATGTGCAGAAATGTAGATGAGCAAACCATGTAGCCAAAGAAAGACTGTGCAGAAATGTAGATGAACACACCATGTAGCCAAAGAAAGACTGTGCAGGAGTGTAGATAAGCACACCATGTAGCCAAAGAAAGACTGTGCAGAAGTGTAGATGAGCACACAATGTATCCAAAGAAACACTGTGCAGAAATGTAGATGAGCACACCATGTAGCCAAAGAAAGACTGTGCAGGAGTTTAGATAAGCACACCATGTAGCCAAAGAAAGACTGTGCAGAAGCTTGGATGAGCACACCATGTAGCCTAAGAAAGACTGTGCAGAAGTGTAGATGAGCACACAATGTAGCCAAAGAAAGACTGTGCAGGAGTGTAGAAGAGCACACCATGTAGCCAAAGAAAGACTGTGCAGAAGTGTAGATGAGCACACCATTTAGCCAAAGAAAGACTGTGCAGAAATGTAGATGAGCACACCATGTAGCCAAAGAAAGACTGTGCAAAAGTGTAGATGAGCACACCATGTGGCTAAAGAAAGACTGTGCAGGAGTGTAGATGAGCACACCATGTAGCTGAAAGAAAGACTGTGCAGAAGTGTAGATGAGCACACCATGTAGCTAAAGAAAGACTGTGCAGAAGTGTAGATGAGCACACCATGTAGCCAAAGAAAGACTGTGCAGAAGTGTAGATGAGCACACCATTAAGCCAAAGAAAGACTGTGCAGAAATGTAGATGAGCACACCATGTAGCCAAAGAAAGACTGTGCAGAAGTGTAGATGAGCACACCATGTAGCCAAAGAAAGACTGTGCAGAAATGTAGATGAGCACACCATGTAGCCAAAGAAAGACTGTGCAGAAGTGTAGATGAGCACACCATGTAGCCAAAGAAAGACTGTGCAGAAGTGTAGATGAGCACACCATTAAGCCAAAGAAAGACTGTGCAGAAATGTAGATGAGCACACCATGTAGCCAAAGAAAGACTGTGCAGAAGTGTAGATGAGCACACCATGTAGCCAAAGAAAGACTGTGCAGAAATGTAGATGAGCACACCATGTAGCCAAAGAAAGACTGTGCAAAAGTGTAGATGAGAACCATGTAGCCAAAGAAAGACTGTGCAGGAGTGTAGATGAGCACACCATGTAGCCAAAGAAAGACTGTGCAGAAATGTAGATGAGCACACCATGTAGCCAAAGAAAGACTGTGCAGAAGTGTAGATGAGCACACCATTTAGCCAAAGAAAGACTGTGCAGAAATGTAGATGAGCACACCATGTAGCCAAAGAAAGACTGTGCAGGAGTGTAGATGAGCACACCATGTAGCCAATGAAAGACTGTGCAGAAGTGTAGATGAGCACACCATTTAGCCAAAGAAAGACTGTGCAGAAATTTAGATGAGCACACCATGTAGCCAAAGAAAGACTGTGCATGAGTGTAGATGAGCACACCATTTAGCCAAAGAAAGACTGTGCAGAAATGTAGATGAGCACACCATGTAGCCAAAGAAAGACTGTGCAGAAATGTAGATGAGCACACCATGTAGCCAAAGAAAGACTGTGCAGGAGTGTAGATGAGCACACCATGTAGCCAAAGAAAGACTGCGCAGGAGTGTAGATGAGCACACCATGTAGCCAAAGAAAGACTGTGCAGAAATGTAGATGAGCACACCATGTAGCCAAAGAAAGACTGTGCAGAAATGTAGATGAGCACACCATGTAGCCAAAGAAAGACTATGCAGAAGTGTAGATGAGCACACCATTTAGCCAAAGAAAGACTGTGCAGAAATGTAGATGAGCACACCATGTAGCCAAAGAAAGACTGTGCAGGAGTGTAGATGAGCACACCATGTAGCCAATGAAAGACTGTGCAGAAGTGTAGATGAGCACACCATTTAGCCAAAGAAAGACTGTGCAGAAATTTAGATGAGCACACCATGTAGCCAAAGAAAGACTGTGCATGAGTGTAGATGAGCACACCATTTAGCCAAAGAAAGACTGTGCAGAAATGTAGATGAGCACACCATGTAGCCAAAGAAAGACTGTGCAGAAATGTAGATGAGCACACCATGTAGCCAAAGAAAGACTGTGCAGGAGTGTAGATGAGCACACCATGTAGCCAAAGAAAGACTGCGCAGGAGTGTAGATGAGCACACCATGTAGCCAAAGAAAGACTGTGCAGAAATGTAGATGAGCACACCATGTAGCCAAAGAAAGACTGTGCAGAAATGTAGATGAGCACACCATGTAGCCAAATGATTTGAATTTGAATATAAACGAATCTTAATTATGTTTCATATTTATTCATTGTTGAAAAGATTTTCTTCAGAATTTCTTTGCTTAATTCATTTTAAGTTATAATTAATTTTTTTTATTTTTTTAGTGTGTTTTAACTTGTATTTGATAGAAAATCTTTTCATTTTCAACGTTTTTTTTTTATTAGTATTTTTTTTATATGTTCTAATGTTACGTAATAAAATTGTAATCTTAAAGTTATCGACTGAAGTAGAATTATTTACTTTTATAAAACACGAATGCTTACAGAATCCCGATTAAAATGACGTCACTCTTTAACTCTATAATGAGGGAGAGGGTCCACCCGCCTCCTTCGAACTAGACTTATCGGAGCTCGCTCCCTGCCCTACCCACCCTATGCAGGTCGTTCAACAGATGATACCTGCACGAGGAAGACTCAATCGAC